TTGAGTTTTTTGATTTTATCGGACGGACTAACGAAATGTCGTACTCCGCAACAACGATATTCGAATAAGCGGTAAAACCATCATGAATCATATTAGAAATCTTCAAAATCGGTTGATGCGTGATAGTATTTAAAATCTCTGCTATTATATTTATACTATGAGTATCACAAAAAAAAACGCTTGGCTTGGATTCATTGATAAGCGTTGTCAAGACACCTGTAAAATATCGTTGGACGTTTATTATAAATGAAACGTTTGTACAAAACCATTAGTATTACTTTTTCTTAAACTGTGATCCAATGCAGCTATAGTTGTACCGATCAAAATCCCAGCTAACATAACTACCTGTCCTTCGTACGAGCCATAGTCTGTAATCATTACAACGTCTCCGTGTCCAATGTCATGTTTTTGAAATGCAGTAGCCAATGCTAAAACGTCTTTTTTCAATTTTGAATAACTGTACTCTTTACCAGTAGAACAGTCGATCTGTATAATTAAATATAATAAATACATAGTTACTAAAATAAATATTAAAATATTTATATTTATATGCCATTAAGATGAGTTTTACATTCTTAAATTTCTTACACCAAAAAGTCCTTGATTGTTGTTCAATTGCTCTACAAACATATCTGATATTGTTTTATTGTGCAGAATAATTTTCGGTCCAGATATGTGTATATTGAATGCCATTTTTGCGAACGTACAGAAAGATTCCAAGTGACTGTCCGACATTTTGGGACAGCCAGCCTATTTGTAGACAAACTTATTGATCGCGTGTCGACATAATATAATACTATTCATATTATTGGACTTGTAATTATTATAATTAATAGTTAATACTGTTGCAAATTATTGTCATTTTGTTAAGTCATTATTCATTTGAAATTATATTTTAGGATAATTAAGATTACTATTCCCATGTAAACATTTTTCGAAGGTCAACGTTTCTGAATTCTAGTTATTCAAAATTATGGATCAGTAATTTCGGATACAATAAAACTGTGGTTTAGTCTATTTTCAGAATGCTACAAATTGAAATGGATTTTATTTTATTCCGTCGTTATTATTTAAACAAGTTTTTAATAATCGTTAATAATACCTATAAGGCTATATCATGCCACTATTTTCCGATATATCTAGCTAGTGTAAGTCATGTGTGAAGGCTTAACATAATTGGCCAGTTTTCGGTTTTCATAACATTTAAAATTGCAAGAATGCGCGCTGCGATATTACTTATATCACCAAATATGCGCTAATAACGTTTGAATTTTAAAACTAAGTTAGGTACAAGTTAAAACGTAACAAAGAATACAGACACGTGTTTTTCAACCGGAAACATAACTGGTTTTACCTAGGTAGTACAAGTACACCAGTCAATTGTATTAGTTTAGTTATATTTAAACATCTTGGACGATAATTATTGCAGTTGTAAATTACAGAAAAGGGATTATAATATAATCTGTGCTAATAGATTATACATACTATATTTTGCTGTATGTTTATATTTTATAATTAATTATACACTTATTTAGATGTTTAAAAAAATTTACCGGGTAATATAATATAATGAAATAGCAGTATATCTGAGCACTTTTTGAGTTAAGTTTTGAGCATTTGAGCAATAAAATATTATGATTTATAATATAAACAAAATATAACATTAATAGAAACTTTTTTTATTAGAAATATTTATTTAATAAATCCATATTGAATGATTTTCTTTAACAATTATAAAAATATGACATAATATGAATATTTTTAGTTAAATCTTGTCTAATCTTCTCCAAACTGAAAACTAATGGTACAGATATTCTCAAATACCAAAAATTGGTGAAATTTGTGTTAACGTCGGCGTTATTTTATTTGTGAATAACATATTATATACAATTAAAGTTATCAATTCGAGAACATTAGGTCTTTTCATTTAACTACTAAAAATTACTGATTAGTGCTATCAAAAATATAGTTATATATAAATATAACTATAWATATTTTTTTAAATTCATTCGCCGGCTTATAAACTACCTAGGTAGTTCTCTGGGCACTCACTGTTTGAAAGATATTAACGCTGATTTCATAGCGTCGTCCGACAAATATATTCCTTTAGGAGTTCCTGTAGTACCACTCGAGTATATGATAGCACADGGACCAATTGAGTTTTTTGATTTTATCGGACGGACTAACGAAATGTCGTACTCCGCAACAACGATATTCGAATAAGCGGTAAAACCATCATGAATCATATTAATTGTTAATTATCCTTAGTACTTTAAAAATATTTTATTGTTTTAATTATCATGTTATAATGTTAAAACTATTATGTAAACTGTAAAATATCCATAGATTTAGATAGCCTTAGGCTAGGAATGTCTTATGTTTAAAATAAAAAAAAAAAAAAAAATTACAAATACACATAGAGTATCGTTGTCCAACGCAAAACTGTTATTGCTATTTGTTGTACATTTCGCCACCCCCAACGAAAAAGGTAGTAATTCAATTTTTATCATTTTTATTGCTTGCACATATTTGATCGAAAAGGTACTGTATAATATTGACATATTCCACGACGCCAAGGATGATCAAAAAGATAACTAGATACATCATAGAATAAAACACTGTAGTTTCAAATTATAAGTTATGCTATTAAGACCGTGTTTGCGTTATTTGAAATTATAAATAAATTATAGTATAAATAGTGTTGCATATGAAATTTGAAAATTGATCTTTGTGTATATAATTATCTACTATAAATTTATCGGTTACACTAGTAGCATACGAGAGGTCATTCTAGGTATATCAAAAATCTGTTAAATCCTAATGACAATTTGGTAGCTTTTATGATAATTTCCGTAGAAGAGTAGACTTTGGTTTCTTTAAACGATGTAACATACCTACTTATGTTAATTTACGAAATTGGAGAGACCAGTTAAAAACAACTATAATTTTATGAATATTTAAAGTTATATTCATATTATACATATAATAATTCGTAGATCAAATTATTTTTTATTTATTTATTGTATTTGTTTATTATTGATTTTTTTTATACTACTGTGATTTATATTATAATTAAGAGGATCCTATCCACCCGCTAGTTGTCTCAGTCTTACAAACGTATCTACGACATAAAAAATGTTCGTTCACTATATTATCAATATGAGCATGGTGAAGCTAGGTTATTCACTTATTGGGTATACATAAAAAATACAACGAATTAATTGTTGTGGGATTAGTGTACAATAAATAATAATATGAAAATGTAAATAGTTAACTATTAATTATAGTAGGTACCTAATATTTAGCAACTATTTGTATTCAATTCTAATTTTGAATTTAAATTAAATGTTCAATTATAAAATTAATATATACACAATAAAATTAAATAACTATATGAGTTTCAAATGTAGCAAGGAATTGATTATACAATTGTGACTGTGTGTCGCATGTGCATAAATCTACATTTAAATATCCAGATTATAGTGCATGCAAACAAATCCGGCACTCGTATCTAAAATAAATGGTTCAATTCTCCAGGGATGATTCCCGGTGGTAAGAGATATGCACGGTATATAGTTCGGCCATATTAATGGAGTGTTTAAAAATTAGGGCTCAGTTGTTGGGGTTTCGTGGGTGTTAACATAGCCCATTAGTCATATGCCTTGCTTCACGGACTCATTCACCCTTATCAAACTATGGCACCATCGTATAGAAGGGGTGGATGACTTCATAATAGAATTACGACCCCCGGGCTTTATATAAAGAAAGATATGGTGCTCGTAAAAAATGCACAGCTTTTAAATTGCAAAAATCAACCACAGAAACGTATACTATCATGATTAATGGACAAGCAGTAAAGTAATGGGGCGATGGCACGAAAAAAAAAAAAATAATAATAAAAAAGTGCGCTATAAACTACCACAGACTCAATGATTATACTATACTGACTATAGCATATAATACGCATATCTAATACTAAAGAGCTCTTGAAAACTCGAATTAAATTTAACAAAAAAGAATGTGAACTTARAAAAAAAATTTTTTGAATCGAGATTTTCATAACAAATATGTCATATTTGTACCTTTTATACAGTTGCAATTGTGAGCAAACCTCGGAAATTCCCGGACATAACATGAAGTGCCAAGGGTATAGTTATTGTGATTAACATAATTTTGGAAAAATAAAAATATATATTATATAAAATAATAATAATATATATTATAATATACAATGTTTTAAAAAAAAAATTTCACATAAAAAGAATCTTTGATTTTTAAAATTACCTACATTTTTTTCTGCTTGTTTTTGTTTTTGAGAACGTTATTTTTATATAATTTTAATAATAACATCGCAATGTMGTATGGTGAAGTTTGATTTAATAACCTCAACCTCAATTTTTTAAATATATTAGATTCTGAGTGGTGCTAGGAATGTATTAATTTTTCAATGATTTGTATTTTTTTTTATCATCACATTTTGGAAAAGAACATTTGCTTACATCTTCTATATTGATAATGGTTTCTGAAAGAAAACTTGATCTAGATTCTATAGGTGGTACTTAATGGGAGATAAAAAGCACGAAATTCCCGAAACACTTTTAATAATTAGGAAGAACAAAGTATAAAATTAAGTAGAATAATTATTAACCAAAAAATCAGTTTTTGACAAAATCAATTTTACAATTCTATAATATTATAATATAAACACATGTTCTTTTAAGGTAAATAATAATAAAAAAAAATTAAATTAACGCAAAATTAATAACTTAATAATTTATAATTATTCGAACGTATTATTCTGATATACACTTTCAGAATAAATACCATTTAAAAGTTATATCCACTTTTATCTGAACTAAAAAAAATTTATGTAATTAAAAAATAAAATACACGTAGGATGTAACCCTTTACTATGTAAGTCTAATAAAAAAACAGATTTATGAAATACATATTTATTATCTTAGGAGATATCACGATGGGTAAACCCTCGTGGGACACCGTTTAAATGTGCAACGGTGGGTAAGTTTTTGAAACAAATATTTTGAGTTAGTTGAATCAAATCATAATTTAAAACATTTAAATATAAGTTAATCGTTATCAAATAATAATACAATAACCATTAACTATTTAAATTTTAAAGTTAATATTGCAAAAAATAATTAAATTTAAGAAATTTAAAATACTATATTTTTCTAATTTCCGATGATTTGAAATTGTTCAGATTTAATTTCATATTTTTAAAATATTTATTATATATTTTGCTAATTTTATTACATATTTATATATGTATACATTACTTTTATATTATAAATAAATCCCATCTCTGTAGGCTGTATTTATTACAATGAACAATATTAATCTGGGCGGGAATTGCTTCGCCCAAAATAAATCTTTCCAGAAAAAACTATAAGGAGGCGAAACACAATATTTATTTTAATATACAGGGTGTCCCGTGAAGATTTATCCATTGCCATATCTCTCGAAATAATGGCAGTATCGAAATTCTGGTTTGGTAATAAAACTCACAGGGATAAGAACTATAATTGTTTCATTTTTTAATGTCTTGGTAAAAAAGTTAAAAAATATATTTTTATATTTAATTATTTCCAAAAAAAAGTAAAGATAGCCATTTTCTAGAGTTTATTTTTCTGAAAATATTGACGTTTCAAAATTTTATTTTCGTTAATTTCCTAATTT